TAGTTCCCAACTGCCCTAGTTCCCAACTGCCCTAGTTCCCAACTGCCCTAGTTCCCAACTGCCCTAGTTCCCAACTGCCCTAGTTCCCAACTGCCCTAGTTCCCAACTGCCCTAGTTCCCAACTGCCCTAGTTCCCAACTGCCCTAGTTCCCAACTGCCCTAGTTCCCAACTGCCCTAGTTCCCAACTGCCCTAGTTCCCAACTGCCCTAGTTCCCAATCTCCCCAATTCCCAATTTCCTTAGTTTCAAATTTCTCTAGTTTCAAATTTCTGTAATTCCCAATTTTCCTAGTTCTCAACTTCCCTAGTTCCTAATCTCCCTAGTTCCTAATCTCCCTAGTTCCCAATCTCCCTAGTTGCCAATCTCCCCAATTCCCAATTTCCTTAGTTTCAAATTTCTCTAGTTCCAAATTTCTGTAATTCCCAATTTCCCTAGTTCCTAATCTCCTTAGTTCCCAATTTCACCTGTCCCAATTTCCCTAGTTCCCAATTTCCCTATTTCCCAATTTCGCTAGCTCCCAAATTCTCCAGTCCCAAATTTCTCTAGTTCTTAATTTCCCTAGTTCCCAATTTCTCTAGTTTCCAGATTCCCCACTTCCAAATTTCCCCAGTGCTACATTTCTCTAGTTTAAAATTTCTCTAATTCCCAATTTCCCAAATTCCCTAATTCCCAATTTCGCTAGTTCTAAAATTCCCTAGTTCAAAATTTCCTTAATTCCCAATCTCGCTAGTTCCCAATTTCGATAGCTGCTAAATTCTTTAGTTCCCTAGTTCCCAATTTCCCAATTCACAAATTCCTTAATTACCAAAGTTAAAACTCCCACAAACCCAAATTCCCAAATTCTCCAACTCCGAAATTTTCAATCTCGCGAAATCCTTAAACGCCTCAAATTTCCACACTCATAAATTCCCCATACTCTCAAACCTCCCAAACACCTAAACTCTCAAACCAGTGAGCTCGAAATCCACGTGTAATCTTGCGAAACCTTTCTGTTATCCACGTATCGCTCAAACAATATCTTCCACTTTGCTAACCTACTTCTCAACTCCAAACATGACCATATCACCAAAAACTCCGTATCGCCAAAAGAATCACATTTATCTGAATTCTCCACAAGCGCGACAAAAGCGTGTAGCAGAATAAAAGCGTATTCAAAGGGAAAAGCTCCCGGAATCAAATCTTGTTGCACAAATTTGTCCAAAACACGTCAGCGAAACAACGTGTAGCTTCGCCCTTTTCATCCAGGATCCATTTCAAAGCGGCATTCTTTTAACCCCAGAGACTTTAATGTCTCTTCGAACACGGGAAAGAGGGCGAGGGGAAAAAAGACAACAGAGGGCAAAAAAAGGGCGGAGGAGTATGTGGTCGGATACGACCTCGAGGATTCGCAGAAGCTTCCTGTAAGATGAGATGATTTCCTTCGAGACCAGATTTCTTAAACCCTTTGTTATTGTCTTCATTTTTATTCTTCGTCGGTCCTTCTATACAGCGGCAACCAAAGGGGAGCTGCCTTGCATTTTTTAAGAAGACATTCGCTTTCCTAGCGAGATGAGCACAGCCTCTACGCAAGTTAACGACACCATTCTTTTCTTTCAGAGTCTGGCTTTTTTTGGGGGGACCCAGCTAACACCTTATGTTTGAATAAGCTATTCTTCGTCTGCGAAATTTTCTTTTCTGGTTCTTTATATTTAATGGAGTTAAATAATTATGTGTAATCTAACATAGTTATTAATTTTTGCAATTTCTTAATCTGAAATTTTTTTAAATTTTAAATGTATAAAATTTCCTAGATCTCAAATTCTCAAAATCCCAAATTCTCTAGATCTCAAATTTTATAGATCCCAAATTCCCTAGACCTCAGATTTCCTAGTTTCAAGAACTCTCTAGATCACAAGTTCCTGAATACCCTAGTTTCAAAAATTCTTTAAATCTCAAATTCCCTAGTTCCCAAATTCCCTTGTTCCCTAATTCACTAGTTCGCAAATTCTTTAAATCTCAAATTCCCTTGTTCCCAAATTCACTAGTTACCAAATTCGCGAGTTCCCAAATTCTGTAAATCTCAAATTCCCTAGTTCCCAAATTCACTAGTTACCAAATTCTTTAAATCTCAAATTCCCTAGTTCCCAAATTCCCTTGTTCCTAAATTCACGAGTTACCAAATTCCCTAATTCCCAAATTCTTTAAATCCCAAATTTCTTAGTTCTAAAAATTCCCTAGATCTCAAATTCTCTAGATCTCAAATTCTTTAAATCCTAAATTCTCTAGATCTAAAATTCCCTAGTTTCAAGAATTCAAAATTTCAAAATTTCAAAATTCAAAAATTTCCAAGTTACTATACTGCAAGTTTCAACAAAATTCAAAACTAAAAAGTTTGAAAATTTCTATTTCCTATATTCCAAAATTCCTCTCCGTATTTACCATAAGTTCCAAATAATTGAATTAAATCCATACCTGTGAAATATCATAAAATACACATCAACATAAAACTCTCTTAATAGATTTATCAAAAACGAAATGACCCACTGACGTTTCCAAATACTATCAATGTCAGAGAAAACATGAAGTGGCAATTATTATTATAACACATATTTGAGGCTATTTCCGAATATTGTATCCATACCGCGTCACGCTATAAATGCATAAACATCCGCAATCTAGTGATAACGGAATATTTAATCACGTCAACGAACGTATGAAATCGCGCAGAGGCTACGTGAGCCACGTACCAAATGCTTCTAATTATCGATGTTAACTAATTATATTTTCGGTGAAACGCTGACTCGTAACGATCCACATTCCCGGCACGACTATTCCGGCTGGTAGCGCTGAATTACTCGTATGATGTCTGCCGAATGCAATTCCATAATTGACCGTCTAATTGATGCCCTAATTTCTGCTCTGTCGTGGCCGTTTAAAGGGGCCTTTCATCCGATATGATTGACGGATAGTCGCCCGTCTTAATTCCCAATGCGATGTCACTTTGACGTTGCTGATTACACGATCATTCCATTCGACGAGGTTATCTACTTTCGATCAAAATTCTTAAGGTTTTTGATTTGGATATACAGGCATTTTGGAAACTTTGCGATTTGGGTATACGAGTTTATAATTTGGGCACTTATGGGCATAGATATTCGTTTCTTTCAAGATGGTGTTATCTTAAAAATTGAAAATTGGGGAATATAGGAATTTAGGAGATCAGGAAACAACCAAATTGAGAATTTGGAGATTTGGACACTTTGGAAATTTGGAAATTTGGAAATTTTGGAATTTGGAAATTTTGGAATTTGGAAATTTTGGAATTTGGAAATTTTGGAATTTGGAAATTTTGGAATTTGGAAATTTTGGAATTTGGAAATTTTGGAATTTGGAAATTTTGGAATTTGGAAATTTTGGAATTTGGAAATTTTGGAATTTGGAAATTTTGGAATTTGGAAATTTTGGAATTTGGAAATTTTGGAATTTGGAAATTTTGGAATTTGGAAATTTTGGAATTTGGAAATTTTGGAATTTGGAAATTTTGGAATTTGGAAATTTTGGAATTTGGAAATTTTGGAATTTGGAAATTTTGGAATTTGGAAATTTTGGAATTTGGAAATTTTGGAATTTGGAAATTTTGGAATTTGGAAATTTTGGAATTTGGAAATTTTGGAATTTGGAAATTTTGGAATTTGGAAATTTTGGAATTTGGAAATTTTGGAATTTGGAAATTTTGGAATTTGGAAATTTTGGAATTTGGAAATTTTGGAATTTGGAAATTTTGGAATTTGGAAATTTTGGAATTTGGAAATTTTGGAATTTGGAAATTTTGGAATTTGGAAATTTTGGAATTTGGAAATTTTGGAATTTGGAAATTTTGGAATTTGGAAATTTTGGAATTTGGAAATTTTGGAATTTGGAAATTTTGGAATTTGGAAATTTTGGAATTTGGAAATTTTGGAATTTGGAAATTTTGGAATTTGGAAATTTCGGAATTTGGAAATTTTGGAATTTGGATATTTTGGAATTTGGAAGTTTTGGAATTTGGAAGTTTTGGAATTTGGAAGTTTTGGAATTTGGAAGTTTTGGAATTTGGAAGTTTTGGAATTTGGAAGTTTTGGAATTTGGAAGTTTTGGAATTTGGAAGTTTTGGAATTTGGAAGTTTTGGAATTTGGAAGTTTTGGAATTTGGAAGTTTTGGAATTTGGAAGTTTTGGAATTTGGAAGTTTTGGAATTTGGAAGTTTTGGAATTTGGAAGTTTTGGAATTTGGAAGTTTTGGAATTTGGAAGTTTTGGAATTTGGAAGTTTTGGAATTTGGAAGTTTTGGAATTTGGAAGTTTTGGAATTTGGAAGTTTTGGAATTTGGAAGTTTTGGAATTTGGAAGTTTTGGAATTTGGAAGTTTTGGAATTTGGAAGTTTTGGAATTTGGAAGTTTTGGAATTTGGAAGTTTTGGAATTTGGAAGTTTTGGAATTTGGAAGTTTTGGAATTTGGAAATTTTGGAATTTGGAAGTTTTGGAATTTGGAAATTTTCTAATTTGGAAATTTTTGAAGTTTTTGAATTTTTGAAATTTTAGAAATTTTCGAAGATTAGAAATTTTGGAACTCGAAAGTTTTGAAACTTGTAAAATTTAGAATTCTGGAATTAACAAATTTAAAAATTATAGTAACTTTAAAATTTGAAAATTCAGAAACTTGAAATATCCATACTTAAATATTTCTATATATCCAACTTCCAATATCCACATTTCTAAATATTTAATAACCCAATCAAATCAACTTCCCCACAATAAAATTCTCCAAAATGACTAAAAAGCTCTTGCCACATCAATCTACGTATCCACTTGAATCAATACCAAAACCTTTCTAACAACAACAAATGAAATTACCGTGAAAACGGTGCAAAGTCAAAGAAATCCAAGTCCATCGTCGAAACGAAAAGCCGAAAAAGCGAATTGCGCGAGTGGAACCGGAAGTGTAGAGCAGACACTAATCCAGGACTTACTGTTTTTGTTCCAGGGGAGCATCCCGCCGCAATGCAGCACGGGAACACGGCAGCAGGCTCGCCAACATCGAAGACGGTCCTCCTAATGCTCGCCTTCTTTTTGGGTCAATTGAGATAATGTGTGTTCTCGTACGTGTCTGTGCGTGGCATTTACACGTGTGTGTCTCTGTATGTGTGTGTGTGCGAATGGACACGTGTGTGCACGTGCGAGTTTTCTCGCACATGATGAATCTTTCCGAGCATTAAGTGAAATTCGATGGATCGTAGTCACCCCATTCCCTGTTTGTACCTTGATCGAAATTCAATCGACGGCTGAACGAGCAATCATCGACGAAGAAGCTTTCTTGTACCGTCGGATCTACGGTGAAATTGATTGGTGAGTTATTTTTTATTTTACTTTTCTCGGGAGAAATTGTTGGTAATAATTGTTGTGTATTTCCATAGTTTATTTTAATTTTTGATTGTTTAGTTTGGATTGAGGTGGCTTTTTTGGGAGTGGTACTTTGGGTTTCAAATATTGTATAGAGTTTTACGGGGATAATTTAAGGTTAGTTCAGTAATAGTTTAGAGTTGGTTTTTCAATAATAATTTTGTTATTCTGTTTAATTAGAATTCCAAGTTTGTAAATTAAAAATTTTAGAATTTAAATATTTAGAAATGTGGATATTTGAGAATTTATAAGGGTTGGAGTGTGGGAAGTATTTCAATTTCTAGCTCCTCAAGTTCCCAAATTTGTGGATTTTCAATTTTTTAATTTTCAAATACCCAAATTCCCAAATTTTTGGATTTTCAATTTTTCAGTTTCCAAATCTCCAAATTCCCAAATTTTTGGATTTTCAATTTTTCAGTTTCCAAATCCCCAAATTCGCAATTTCCAATTTTCTAAATTTCAATTTTCAAATCTCTCAAATTCTAAAATTTTCAGATTTTCAAATCTCCAGAGTCTCAAATTCCCAAATCTCCAAATTCTGAAATTCCCAAATCTTCAAAATCTCCAAATTCTCAAATCTTCAAACCCTCAAATCTTCAAACCCTCAAATCTCCAAACCCTCAAATATCCAAATCTCCCAATTTCCAAATCTTGAAATGTCTGAATCTCAAAAGCTCGAAATTTCCAAATCTCCAAATCTCCAAATCTTCAAACCTCCAAATCCCCAAATCTCCAAATTTCCAAAACTCCAAATCTCCCACCTCTGAAATTTCTCCACCCCTCAACTTCCCACCTCACCAAATACCCAAACCTCAAAATTCTCAAACTCTCAAATTCCATATATTTTTGCTTCAAACCCATTCTAATCTACCCTCAATAATAAACTTCGAATAACTCCTACACTCCTAAAACTCACCCCATAAAAATTAATATGTCAAGAAGACATATTCACTTGTATAAACCATAATTGAAAAACCAACCCTTAAAATTGATTCAACGAAGAAAAATGCACTAAGAAAGTTTGTATAGAATCTTCCCAGAAATGAATGAATAAATTTAATACGAGATAAACCTTTTTTCTTCTGTTTCAATAGAAACTTAATAATGGAGAGATTTTATTGAATATTATGTTCGCTCACATGGAGGGTTTTCTTGTACTAATTAGCATTTCTCCAATCATACTTGTGAGATTTCAAATTTTACTCTGAACCGTTAATATTGAATTTCGATATCAGGTTAATAAAAATTGAAGTTTGTTTAATTAGATGGAAATTGAAAGTTATTTTATTAAATGGAAGTTGTTTAATTAGATGAAAATTGAGGGAGTAAAATATTAGTCGAAGTTTAACGTAGTTATTAACCATTATTTCTTTTTATACTCAATATTTGTATTATTACATGTAATGAATATTATATTTATTAATTACTGAAATATTATATATTTATTATTTTAGATATTATATTAAATTTGATTAAACTATGTTAAAATTAAATTATATTAAATATTAGTTAATACAAAGAAAAGACTCTTTGTTAACAGTTGCAATAAGAACTATCTGTAGCAGATAAGAAGGCACTTCTCAGATGCCTTCTTATGAGCCACGAACAGTAATCACAATTTACAAGTTTTTAATTATAATACACAAAATTAGTTACACTGAAGGTACACAAATTATTATTAAAGATGAATAATTAATTGTAAGTTATCAATTAAATTATTAATTTTAACTCCAACATACACGAATCTACATTTCAAAATAATCTTCGACAATTAATATTTTTTTATTTAATTTTCTAAATACAAACTATAGTCTCAACATACAAATAAAAATTAAGTACCATTGTTGATCATTTACAACCGCATAATTTTCTTTGGTAACCTAAAAAATTCACCATCGTAGAACTTAATGGTTTGACTGAAAATCGAAGAAAGCTTCTTCAATAATCGATATCGATCGAAAGTGGACGAATGAAACAACGATGGAGCTTTTCCCGAAAGCATATTTGTCTTGCGATTGTTGGTGCAAGAAGGATCGTCGATGAAGGGACTCTGTATGAAATATAAAAAGTATAAAAACGCGTAATCGTCGCGACTTTCAGTGCATCTATAGACACTCTATCGATTACGTCAGTCGTAGTATCCCAGGTTCGATATGTGTAATAACTTGCAGATTACTACTGCGTTCTAGTGTCATCGAGATAAGGAAACAAGAACAGTAATCGAAGCAACATTTTACATGGTGTATGCTGTTAATGGTGATTAATGAGAGTGCAAGGATATTAAGTGCGCATGCGTTTGAAGACGGTATTTCAGTACTATACGTAAGATCGCGAGGTAGGGATGGTTTTGCGTGTGCCATTAATTATTGTTCGCGGGGAGACGATCGTTGCTGGTGCAATAATTCGTTCGTTCGTAATAAAATTTGTTCAGACAGGTTTTAGGCACTTTTAGCGTTCGTGACAAAGAATTTTGAAATTTTCGAATTCATCAATTAGAAAATTTGAGAATCGGTGAACTTATGCACTTGGAGATTGGAAAGTCTCGAATGCGAAATTCGAGAATTTGGAAATTTAGGAATTAGGAAAATTTGAAATTTGGAAATTTGCAAAAATGGAAACTTTGAAATTTGAGAATTTTGAAAATTTGGAAGATTCAAAATTTCCGAATATAGGAAATTTTGAGGTTTGGGAGGTTTGAGTTTGGAAAGTTGAAAATTTTCGAAATTGGGGAATTTCAGAAACTAGGGAATTTTTGAATTTGGGAATTTCATAAAACTGGGATTTTTAAAATTTGGGAATTTCATAAAATAGGAAATTTTGAAATTTGGGAATTTCAGAAACTGGGGAATTTTGGAAATATGGGGATTTTGCAATTTGGAAATTTTAGAAACTAGGGAATTTTTGAAATATGGGAATTTTTTACACTAGGGCATTTTAGAATTTGAGAATTTCAGAAACTAAGGGATTTTTAAAATTTGGGGTATTCCAATTTGGAAATTTAGGAAACTAGGAAATTTTTTAATTTTGGGGATTTTTCAACTTAGGAATTTCAGAAATTAGAGAACTTTGGATTTGGGAATTTTAGAAACTAGAGAATTTTGTGAAACTAGGGACTTTTAGAAACTAGGGAATTTGTGACATTTGGGGGTTTTTGAATTTGGCAATTTTAGAAACTAGGGAATTTTTGAAATTTAGAGGTTTTTTGGAACTAGGGAGTTTCTGAATTTGAGAATTTTAGAAACCAGGGAATTAGTGACATTTTAGTATCTAGGGAATTTGTGACATTTGGGGATTTTTGAATCTGCCAATTTTAGAAACTAGGGAATATTCGAAAATTTAGTGATTTTTCAATTTCAGAAGTTTAGAAACTAGAGAATTTTAAAAGCCAAAAAATTTTGAATTTCATAATTTTTGAATTTTCGTACTAAAAAAATGCATTAATTTTAGAATTTCTTAAACTAGAAATTTATAAATTTGAAATTTCATGAATTTCGCGATTGGAAAATTTCTAGATTTGAAAATTAGAAAACTAATTAATTTTAATTCTCCCAAATTTTCCAATTCTCAAATAAAAAATTTGAAAATTCCACAATTAAGAACTATAAAATTTGCAAATTTATATAAATCCAAAGCTTCAACTTCCCTAATTGGAATATTCAAATACTTGTCAAATTTCGAAATAAGAAATATTAAATTGAATCAGAATTACCGAATTCAATATTCTCCACCCTATCAAACTTGGCATCTCCGAATCTTTACCTCCATAATAGTAAAAATTTAACACATTCTGCACACATAACTTAATATTCAAGGTCTCTCATAAATTCCGCGAAAAGAATATGTCCATTTCTCTGATTTATGCTTGCCAATACGGTACACCTCATTCGCTGATTCTTAAAAATTGCAGTAAGAAGGAACAGCAATAAAAGAACGTCGAATAAGTTTCTGCTGATACGCCGTAGCCAGAGAATTTCTCGAACGTCAATCATTTCTATCCCCGATGAAAGAACTTGTTCGCGGGATCTAAAATTTCAAAGTTTCTTTGTTTCCCCGAAAGATTGACAGCCACGTGAACGAACGCTAGTGACTGTTTCGTTCTTTTATGGTGCGCCGAAGAAAACTATCTATAAGATACGAGGAAGGACAACCAATACTGTTTTACGACAAGTACGCGTATCAACGTGGATCGTGAATTTTATTGCGGAAACCATCGGGGACAATCGACCGTTTTCTTCGAGGAAATCCACGGGAAACGTCTTTGTGACACGAAGACTTTGTTTTCATTGTTCTCCAATGAAATATCTTGATCTCGTGTCGACGGATAAAACACTGAGAATAAAGTATAACGATGAACGTTTGGAAAAATGTAAAATCTTATCGTGCTTCGGAGATTTTCGCAGACACGATTTATCGAACGAACGAATTTAGAGATTCTGTCAATTATGTAGACATTTATTTCTGTATCGTTTAATTAGGAGTTTGATGGGGTGAATCGACTGATGTGTAATAAATAATAATTGCAATAATGATTATAATGGTTACAGTAATGTTAGTAATAGTTTTAGTATCATTAGGTTATGATTTCATTACTTAAAATTGTACTAATGGAAATTAATATTATATTAGTAATAAAATTAATCAGAATTCTTTCTATCAATTATAGAATTTATGTATTATTTTATTTATCAGAATTTTAATAGGTAGTTATTACAATAATAAGGATACAGGGTGTCTCACAACTAGTGTCCCTGAAATGTAGCTGACGTGATTCTGAATAAGATTTCCCTTTGCAAAAATGGCGTTTGAAGCTTCGTTCTTGAATTATTAAGGAAACGCGGAGCAATCAGAGCGCGAGGATTATGCATGCGCAGACGCGAGAGCGGCAGCTTCGGATAATGCGTAGTTATCCAACGCGTGGTAATCCAACGCGTAGTAATGCAACGCGTGATAATCCTATGCGTAGTAATACAACGCGCAGTAATCTAACGCGTAGTAATACAGCGTGTGGATATCTAACGCGTAGTAATTTAGAGCGTGGATATTCAACGCGTAGTAATTCAGAGCGTGGATATTCAACACGTAGTAGTCCAACGCGTAGTAATGCAACGCGTGGTAATTCTAAGCGTAGGAATCTAACGCGTAGTAATACAGCGTGTGGATATCTAACGCGTAGTAATTTAGAGCGTGGATATTCAACGCGTAGTAATTCAGAGCGTGGATATTCAACACGTAGTAGTCCAACGCGTAGTAATGCAACGCGTGGTAATTCTAAGCGTAGGAATCTAACGCGTGGTTATTTAACGCGTAGTTAACCAACGCGTGTAATTCTAAGCGTAGGAATCTAACGCGTAGTAATACAGCGTGTGGATATCTAACGCGTAGTAATTTAGAGCGTGGATATTCAACGCGTAGTAATTCAGAGCGTGGATATTCAACACGTAGTAGTCCAACGCGTAGTAATGCAACGCGTGATAATCCTATGCGTAGTAATTCTAAGCGTAGGAATCTAACGCGTAGTAATACAGCGTGTGGATATCCAAGGCGTAGTAATCTAGCGCGTGCATATTCAACGCGTAGTAATTCAACGCGTAATAATGCAACGCGCGGTAATTCTAAGCGTAGGAATCTAACGCGTAGTTATCTAACGCGTAGTTAACCAACGCGTAGTAATCCAACGTGTAATAATCCTCGCGCTCTGATTGGTCCGCGTTTTTAATAATTCAAAAACAAAGTTTCAAATCCCATTTTTGCAAAGGGAAATCTTATTAAGAATCACGTCAGCTACATTTCAGGGACCTACACCAATTGTGAAGCACCCTGTATAGTAATCCATAATTTTATTTTTGTCATTCAAAATCATATTTCATCAAGTTTTAAGTAATAATGATACAATAAATATGAATAACTGAAAGTAGTTTAGGAATTTTAAATAAAATTACTTAAGTAATTTAAGAAATAAGAGTTAATATTATTATAACAATGATTTGTTACAATTATTATTGTAATTGTTATTTATTATAGTTATGCCATAAAATGTTAAGTATGTACATATATAAAATAATGTTACATCATAAAATTAATGTTAATGTTATAATGACAATTTTAAGTAATGTATGTAATAATTGTAATTGTATTGTTGATTATGAAATAATCATTCTACTGATAACATTTTATTTGTTACTGAATTTGATTGATTTAGTATTATATTAATTTTAAATGTGTCAAGTTGTGACTGTGATAATTTTGGGTACCAAAATTGTGACTGTAATAATTTTGAGTACCAAAATTATGATTATAATAATTTTCAATTTTAAAATTATGACTACAATAATTTTTAATATCTGAAGTCATGACTATAACAATTTTGAGTACCAGAATTATGGCTATAATAATTTTGAGTCCTCAAATTATGACAACAATAATTTTTAATATCTGAAGTCATGACTATAACAATTTTGAGTACCAAAATTACGACTATAATAAGTTTGCGTACCAAAATTACGATTATAATAATTTTCAATACCAATAATATGATTATAATAATTTTTAGTATCTAAATTTATGACTATATTAATTTTGAGTATTATAATTCTCACTATAATAATTTTGAATACCAGAATGATGATTATAATAATTTTCACAACCAAATTATTATAAAAATGTAATAACTGCAACAGCGATTAACAGTGATTAAAATAACTTGTCACACTAATTAGACACCACCAATTTAATTAGTATAATTAAATTATACTAATTATACTAATAATTTATAGTACCTAAAAAATATATAATTTATAATATTTAAACTAGTTAAATTTATTTAACACTAATTCAAAATTTCTCAGAACTTTTCTTGTATCAATTCTTAATCATTAATTACGCATATTATTAAATTACCTCCGAAACCTACATTTAAATAATTTTATTTAATTACCAACGCACTCAGCGATCGTCCTTCCAGTTTGCCGCAAGCGAAAGAAACGAGTGAAAATTGATGAGAATGTTAAAGAAAGCTTGTAAGACGAGTGTTAAGTAGACGAACGTATTAAAAATACAAATGAAATACCGAGAGGCCAGACGTCGACATAGAGAAAACGACGTCCACCGAATTATCCCTCATCTACATTCCCTCATCCCATTAATGAACTTTCTACTACGGAATAAGTGTTAATATAAAGAGAAGATAAATACATTTTCCCTGAACTGCTACCTCTGCCTTGCTTTTTCGTTCCTCGAGCAACAATCGCTCAAATCAATTTTCTGCACTGTTAATGCACTCATTTTTAACCTTCAACGTTGCATATTTTTATTTATTATTATTTTAATGCATTTCATTTAGAACTCGTATCACAATAAATTTTCATTTCGTTTTTATTTTGATAAATTGTTTGATTTACTAAATGTTATTCTTCGCTTTTATGGATTAATAGTGACAGGCTTTTGAATGAAAAATTCATAACAAAATAATAATATAATTTTGTTTGATTTTAATTGTTAAAATTTAGTTTAAAATTGCTTAAAATTAATATTGCAGTTTAATTGCAATTATTATTTATATTACAATTTATTAGAATTCAAATTCGTTAGAAAAAT